AGTACGAAAATTGGATGTAATTACAGGGAGTGAAGTATGCAATTTGATGAGTTATATCCGGAAGACCCAGAGAAACATGCCGATGTGATGATGTGATTGAGTCGAACCTGGGTTCGTATGGGAAGTGTAGGTATGTATACAAAAAATGTCCATGTGTGAAGTCGTAGATGGGATGCTCCGCAGTCGTAATAACTTAAAGCGTTCTAGATGGTTTTACTATCGAACTTATCAGTTCGGTGTTGACGAAGAGAAATCATCGGGCAAAACTCACCACGTGCTATTGTCATTCCTGTGACAACTCGAAGCGTTCTAGGATGGTTTTACTGTCGTTCTCATAAGTTTGGTGAAACTTGGAGAGAAGTCGAGAAACTCACCAAGTATTGATAGGATTCTTAGGGTGGTAATTGAGCACATACTCAAACTGGGGACCAGTCTCGGGGCTGTGTGGATAACGTTTGCATTTCTCCACTGTTCGCCATTCCCGGGCGATTATTTTCAGCGCTTCCTCTCCATTCTTGGCATGACCACTATCAACTAGCCAGCACCCGATAACCATTCCTGTACGCCCGATACCTCCTCTGCAGTGGACTGCAGTGATGCGGCCGCGGGCTTCATCATCACGTAACACGTCTAGCACATGGTACATGAGGTCGAGCGACTCAGGCAAGCATCGGTCACGGATCGGAAAGCGGTGGTACTCAATAGTATCTGTATCGATCCCAAGCAGTGCTGCGCGAACGGCGAGGACGTCCGCATAAGATATCAGCTCGCCTGCTTCAGTGAGGTCGATGAAGGTGCGCACGCCTGCCCGTAGGAGGGCATCAAGCTTTGGTTTATTTGGGTTCTTGGGTGTCCACGGATACTCGCACGCAAGTAGCTGTGGAGTAGCCCAGTAAGAATTAGGAATAGGACGCGGACGATGCGCTGTTATTGGGCGCTGAGGAAGCGCTTTAATTCGTCGTTGTGTAGTAATGAGGGCAAGCATGTTCTTTGAAGGAGACGAAGACGATGCACCTGGGCTTGGAATTTGTAAGAGTCTGGAACCCTCCATGAGAGTTATAGTGATTGCGCGGTTGAGGGTGTGTGTGTGGGTTTACAAAAAGGATGGTCCGTTATATATAGAGATCCGATAATTCTAAAAACAAAATGGTGGATATGATCGGGGGACGGGAACAAAGGTTCGTGGCTGTGGCACTGGTTACATAATTGACAAAGCTTGGCATGGCACGGAATGAGGAAATTCTTTTTGCGCGTGCATTTCGCGAGGCGGCCCTCCGAGGACAAGATCCTATATCGATATCATATGGAACTTCTACACACGTTGGTCGAGCATGAGAAATGCTATTATTTTTGAAACAGCCGAGTTTGCATTTAGTTAAGACAGGACGCAGTGGGCGCTTTTCTCATGGGCCAGACCCGATCAAACGTACATTCGCGGCTCCATTGGAGCACTCTAGATCTGGTCTATGGATGGACTTTGATGAGTACGTACTACATTTGATTGACAAGATCAGCGAAATACTTATCGCTTTAGCCACAAGAGTCTAGGTTGTACGGACGGCTTGCGGTGCATGTGCATTGAAGTACAATGTTGGAACAGGATGGAGATGGGTGAGATATGAAGTCAGGGATAACTGAGGTGATGTGTTGAGTCATGTGAGCTTCCCTGTCAAAGTTTTGCCCACATGTATCGCGTTCCATTTGATTTTGTAGCGGTAGTACCTCTTCAAGCTTCACCGTTATCGCAGCGCGCCGGTTCAACGAATGAAATCAAGCGAGAGGCA